CACTGCATAGGAAGTTACCTTTCTAATGTGGGTGAAAGTAAGTGGTTCCTAAACTCATCTGTAATTGTTGCTCTTTGAGATGTGCTGCGCAGGTCCATTCCGCTCTGGGTTTCTGCACCCCAGAAACATAGACACGTGTCCACATTATCTAAATCTTGCCTGCAATGTGTGTGCAAATTATAGGCAAAAATGAGACCTTCCTTTAAAATAGAAAACAGAAATCTGGCCTCGTAAGCACAATACACTGTAAAAATGGTTGACTACAACTAAAATATGTTACTGTTGGCATTTAAGCAAACAAAAGTAGTAGTTAACGATGGTTTAAACTTTAAGCCATCTTAGTTTTCAAAAAGTTGAGAGCCAACATGGACTCTAGTTTCATGCAAACGAGCAGTTAAAATGCCAAGCTTTTAATCTGGAGAAAGTTTGTTCCAAATATCAGTTAGCTCTCTTAAATGCAGCACATCAAAGCAACACAGGAAAGAGGTATCGGAGCACAAATAAATACTCTCTCCTATTGGTGAGTGGAATGAGAAGCTTGTGGCAGATGGCAGTTTGGTATCTTTGTTCTTCACTGTGCTATTTAGATCGAGCATATTTGTGCTTATGAAGTGCTATCAAACATGACATCTAAGGGTGATAGGATTTTAATGACAAGTAAATGAATATTGTCATTGTATCTGGATATCTATGGCGCCTCTCACTCTATTCTTGAATGCCATCCAAGAAGTTGAAAATAGAAATATGCACCTTTTGAAGTATGGCAATGTCTAGCCAACACAACTGAGGTCAGAGCCCCGTGGTAGTCGGTGTTATATAAACATGTATGTAGAGGCAATTCCTATTTTAAAGGGCTTAAAATGTTGATCAGTTAGGCAAAGAATGGTAGGGGGAAAGAGAGCTCTCCAGAGAAGTGAAGTAGCACAGCAGGTCCATGGCTGAGTTGGGAATGGACCCCAGCTCTCCAGGGCCAGTAAGCCTCTCCACGGGACAGCACTGCTTCTCTGAACTGATTTTCCTTCCTTCCCAGCCTATAGAGCAATTAGTTTGGGGGTGCATATGCCAGTATATGAGAAGTTTTCTCAAGGCAAGTTCAGCAGAGGAACGAAGTTTGCATTTAGTTCTGAAAGTTGCAAGGTTACTAGTCAGAGTCTCATAGTCTAGGTCCAACTTCCATGAAAGTTCCCTCCCATGCACCTGTATGTTCCCTCCCATGCTTCTGTATGTTCCCTCCCATGCACCTGTATGTTCCCTCCCATGCTCCTGTAAGTTCCTTCCTGTGTACTTGTATGTTCCCTCCCATACTCCTGTAAGTTCCCTCCCATGCTCCTATAAGTTCCTTCCCATTAGGTCCAACTTCCATGAAAGTTCCCTCCCATGCACCTGTATGTTCCCTCCCATGCTCCTGTAAGTTCCCTCCCAGCACCTGTAAGTTCCCCCATCACCTCCCTTATCAACATTTTCATTATTCCCTTGGCATTTAGATGGTTTTGGAGGATATGAGCAGCAATTATATATAAAGGAGAATATCCGAACAACACATGCCTGGCATCTGTATAATGGTCTATCACTTTCATAGTCTTTTATCGTCCAATAGCCCGCATTGTCCAATTACTGGCTAAATAGGTACAATTTGATATGTTGGTTTCAAAGATGTTGCAGGTAGGAGTGGACAATGTAATGAAGAGAGATAGAAATGAACCATCTTCTGTTGGACTGTTTCGTAGGGAGTGCTGAAAGGATGTAACGAAAAGGAGGCGGCAGGCAGCTCATCGGATGCCTGTGAAAGCAGCCCCCTTTTGCATTGTCTCTATTTGTTGTGCTACAATGCCCCACCATCAATTCTGCAATTCCCAGCTTTTTCATATGCGAGCAGCAGGATGGGCAGTTTCTGTAGAACACATTGTATCATTGCTCCCTTGACATCAGAGAATGCGGCCTACTTCAAACAAGAGTCCTATTAACCCGGGCACTGCCTGCCACAATGACCACTCACCTACCCCTCAGTTCACTAGCAAGAGCAGTATTATGCAAACAGCAAGAGGGGGTGCCTGGAGTGGAGGCGTGGAGATAAAAGGTCAAGGCACACGTATGTCAGAGCACCTAGGTAAAAGTGCAGTGACATGAGGCCTGGAGTGGAGGCGTGGAGATAAAAGATCAAGGCACATGTATGTCAGAGCACCTTGGTAAAAGTGCAGTGAGGTGAAGACTAATAGAGCCTATACCCACTCCAAAGCAATGCAACAGCTGCTTCATATTATTCATACAGGGCAGTTAGCCTTCATGCAACTCTTTCTCCAAAGGTCATATTTTCAATTGAAAAGCAATGCGACAGCTGCTTCATATTATTCATACAGGGCAGTTAGCCTTCATGCAACTCTTTCTCCAAAGGTCATGCTCATATTTTCAGTTGGATCTCATTTATTTGGACAGATGGCCCATGCTAGAAAAAAAATTACTAAGACCTGAGGGGCCTGGCACATCTCAGGATTTGGTTCCTTGTGGAGCTACAGGAAGGAGGGGTGCAGCCTGGAAAGGTTGGTTACCAAGGCAATGCTGGGCTGTGTGAGCAAATGAAAGGGACAGATGTTGGGTTGTGTACTCCAAGTAGCAGGAAGGCTGCTGCAGCAGCTAACTGACCGGACAAGCTACTTCAGCTAGTCCAATATTCTGACGTTGGGCTTGTCTACACTATGGAGAAGACCAACACTGCTGTAGTCGATCATCCAGGGTTTAAATTAGTGGGTCTAGGGCGCTCTTGTTGGCATCAGTAATCCTGCTCTTCATGAGGAGTAACGGAAGTCAACAAGATCATGTAATTTCAGTAATCCTGCTCCTCATGAGGAGTAAGGGAAGTCAACAAGATCATGTAATTAGCTGGAGCTGTGTATCTTAAGTCGACTTCCCCTTTAGTGTAGACCAGGCCTTAGTGACCAATATCCATTGGTTCAGAAGAAGCTGCAAAAAACCCCAGAGTGAGACCTTATAACCAGTCTATAGGGAGTGTCACTTCCAGAGTTCCCCACTCCATCAATTGTTAGTTTGTGCCCTGAAGTTGGAGGACATATATATTTACCTGAAAATTCTTGCCATCTGATCTTTTCCTTCAACTTTTCTAAACTCTTGGTCTGTGTCTAAACTGGCCAGTTTTTCCGGAAAATCAGCCACTTTTCCGGAAAAACTTGCCAGCTGTCTACACTGGCCACTTGAATTTCTGCAAAAGCACTGACTTCCTACTGTAAGAAATCAGTGCTTCTTGCGGAAATGCTATTCTGCTCCCATTGAGGCAAAAGTCCCTTTTGCGCAAAGCTTTTGCGCAAAAGGGCCAGTGTAGACAGCTCAGATTTGTTTTCCGCAAAAAAGCCTTGATCGCGAAAATGGCGATCGGGGCTTTTTTGAGGAAAAGCACGTCTAGATTGGCACGGACGCTTTTCCGCAAAAAGTGCTTTTGCTGAAAAGTGTCCGTGCCAATCTAGACGCTGTGTTCCAAAAATGCTTTTAACGGAAAACTTTTCCGTTAAAAGCATTTCCGGAAAATCATGCCAATCTAGACGCAGCCTTGGTGTCCCTAATTTCTTGCATCAGGGAATTCTGCCACAATAAACCTAAATATTGTTTTATGTAACAAAGCTAGTTTATAAGATTTTCTATACAAAAAGTTATATTGAAAATGTCATTTGAATAGACACAGCAATATTTCTCTTGAGCTATTACAGCATATTGCTTAAATAAGCAATCATAGGAAAAAAGGAGTGCATTATAAGTTTTCATTTTTTACTACTTCTCCATCCTCTCAAAAATAAATATAATATTTCCTTGCACAGAACAAAAGAGTCTTTTTCTTTCAATGCTGTCATAAAATAGATTGTATTAACGGTTTCTGCTATTGTACATTATTAACTTTTTAAAATGTCTTGCTAGATTTCAACAATACAAACTCCTGTGGTTTTTATTGACTGTCAGTTTTCAGTCAGCAAAATTTCCATTTAGGCCTATTTTTGCTAGTGAAAACTTGAGTGAATTTAGGTTCCCTCACACATTATTTCCTTATTGCTCACATCTTTCAAGGGATATTCAAACATCTTTTGTTTTTCAAACTAGTTTAATAAACTTCAGAGAGGTAGCTGAGTTAGTCTGTAACTGGAAAAACTTAAAAAACAATGAATAGTCTAGTTTAATAAAGGCAACTCGCTGTAGAGGAAATTTACCTTTGTACATAGAGACTCTGTGTAACTAGCTGATGAGGGATGTTCATTATTAGTTGTGTGTGGAACACTGATTCATTCAAAACTGATATAAGACTAATAGTAAATCTATTAGCGTTCCTTACCTAGAACACTGTGATGGACCAAATAGTACCCTAACAGAGGGCTTCCCTAGTAAATTAAGCTGAAACGGCACTCAGTTTTGGTTTTCCCCTCACCCTCATGTGGTAAGATTAGGGACTTTGGATGCCAGAGTGGATGCTGACCCAGGGGAGTCCTGAAACTTTGGAGTTTTGATAACTGGAACCATCACTGGAGAAATTGGGTCTAAGGAGATCCCTTTTATGGTGCAGAACAAACAAGCTTTTATTGAACAGAAGTTTGACACCGTATAGATCAAAACATGAGGGTTTATTACGCACAGAGCTGGCATAGTGTCACTTCGCTGTTACCTAAACAGGGCCGTGTCCAGACTCAGGGGGTTTTTCGGGAAAAGTAGCCTTTTCCCGAAAAAACTTCCCCTGCGTCCAGACTCAAGCCGCGTTCTTTCGAAATTATTTCGAAAGAACGCGGCTTTTCTTTCGATGGCGGTAAACCTCGTTTCACGAGGAAGAACGCCTTCTTTCGAAAGTTCCTCTTTCGAAAGAAGGCGTTCTACAATGTAAAGAGGCCGTCTTCGAAAGAGAGCATCCAGACTCGCTGGGTGCTCTCTTTCGAAAAAGCGGATTTCCTCTATCGAAAGATCCGCCTGCAGTCTTTCGAAAGAGGCCTGCAGTCTAGACATAGCCCAGTTGATTACAATAGATGATATAGGGTGGAGAAGCGACAGGGTGGGAGTTCCCGAGCCCCTGGATAGGTTCTAGCAGCAAGACAAAATTAGCACAATAAGCCAATAATCTAAAAGGTTACATCATTGCTCCACCCATAGCTCAGGTTAACATGTTTGCTGTTACACAGGTGATATCCCTCAAACTACTCCTCTTGCAAGGTGTAAGTTAAATCCGGATTTCAGGTCCATAGAAATGACGGTGGCACTTCCCATTCTGGTTGGCCCAGAGGTACATTCCTAGAGGGTCTTAAAGCAAAAAGAACAGTAAACAATACACAGCAATGACTTCATTTGCATGAAAATGGCCACCGCTTTTTGCCACCGTGGCACTTTGTCAGCGAAAAGCGGCAGTCTAGAGGGGGATCTGTTGAGAAAGAAAGCCTTTCTCGACAGATCCTGTAAACCTCCTTGCAGGAGGCATAAGGAAAGCGGCAAAAAGCGGCGGCCATTTTTATGCAAATGAAGCACGGGATATTTAAATCCCCGCTTCTTTTGCAATGGCGATCTGCCTAATCTGCATCCCTCTGCCGACAGAGGGATGCAGTCTAGACATACCCATGCTGACATGCTTGCTCTCTCTCTGAACAACGGCATTCAGGGAGTATGTACTTGTTATCTCTTCCTGAACCACGGAGTAGACTCCGAAGCCCCTCTCTGTGAATTATGTGCCCGTAACTCACAAGTCCCCCAATTACTGCTCCCCACGTGGGGTTGTGCTGTCTTAGCTTGTTTATGGCTGGTTAAACAAACATGTCTGTTTCTTGCTTATCTCAACCTTTCTTTAGCCATGTATTGTTAACTAGGCCTCATGCCTCAGACCAGGCCTGTGGGGTTTGGGCATATGTGAAAGATTCTTAACAGAGACTGTGGTCAAGGTCTTCCATACATATTATTGGGATTTTGACCCTTCAATTGTCTGGTATCTCTGGGTATGTCCTGGACACGGTATCCAAAAAACAGAAAAGAGGCTTCTTATCCACAGTGACAAATGCCATCCACCAAACTGTAATCAGCCGACCTAAGAGCATCTGGTATTCTGTGGCCTTTTTTCCCCAGCCCGTAATGGCCATAGTCTCCGCCCCTTTGGAATCAGCAATTCAAAAACAACCCTCCAGTCAGGGCTAAGGCCTCTGGAGGGGGAAACTCTCCCCTACTCTGACTGCCATAGTGTCCACTCTGGTCCTTCTATGTATAAGCTGGAGGACTTTCTGCAGTCTCTGTCTCAATACCCCGGGGTCAGGTTTGGAACACCTGTATCCAAAGTAGTGAAAGCATTGGTATACCTCACTAAATGCTTCCCCATTCTCCCTTTAACTGCAACAGAATCCCAGTGCAAAGCAGTTAGCAAACAGTTAAATAGATGTTCCATATTTTCTGTAGTCTCTAGGGCTGCGTCTAGATTGGCATGATTTTCCAGAAATGCTTTTAATGGAAAAGTTTTCTGTTAAAAGCATTTTCGGAACACAGCGTCTAGATTGGCATGGATGCTTTTCCGCAAAAGCACTTTTTGCAGAAAAGCATCCATGCCAATC